ATTCGGAATGCGTTGATAAGTAATCACTTTGCTTGGCCCAAGTGGAACCTGCATATCTGTTCTTTAATTGTCTACAAAAACAAGTTACTTTTCTCCACAGAATTGCTTGTAGGCATAAATAGATTTAAAATTTGTTTCAGATAATCCACCCAGCTAAAAAGTTGTTTATACATTTTGCAACTGTAAAAGCACTCTTACTGCATACCAGATCACTACATCTCCCATGACATACTTGTCTGTCAGTATCATTTAGCGTAGTACAATGCAGTCGTATAAAAAATACAGTTCGTTAAAATCTTAATTTGTAGCAGGCGCTTCGTTTGCGAGTGGTAGGGTTGTGCCGCAATTGACTTCGTAATTAGTTTGTCATGTACGGCTGCGGTTAAGCTGTGGCAGGTTGGATAGGAAAAAGAATTTAAGGCATTCAAGTACCCCTGAGTTGCTATGTAACCGAAGGCGAATACAGCTTTGGGATGAAAATAAGTCTCATTATTCAGTATTCATTGTAAACGGAAGCTAAACAGAATGCCTGGCATATCATGGTTTAGACTTCAAAATATGTATGGATAGGGTTGACCATGCGTACCTATTAAAGATTATATTATAACAGTTGAGATTTTTTAGCGAAATTATCTTACTTTGCATGCACAATTAATCTACATAAACATGGTTAGCTAACGAGAAATTTCTAAAAAGAATAATTTATTAGTCTTGCTTGAATTTTGCATAAGAATATTTGGAATTCAATTTATCAGAAAGGTTTCTTTCTTTCGATAGGTACGCTTTTGGGTCAGTGCCATGAATGTTCCACTTGGAATGATTGCAATTTCTGCCGTGAATCGGATATTCTTTTGGGCCTACAATATCAAGCGATTGCAAATTCCACCTGCAAATAATCTGGACTACTCCACCTGGTTCAACATACCGGACTTTTCTCATATGACATATGGCATAGTATCTGCCACTTATGCCCATGGACGCGCTGTTATTTTCGGCTTTATCTTTGGATTTCTCATATATGTTGAGATAGCACTGAACGGGTAAGTTTCCCTTCATAAACACAAGCCTCCGAATTATATATTTTTAGGTTGCGGAGGTGCTCATTTGGCAAAACAGACGAACCAATTTTAATTTAAACTCTTTTAAATAAGTGTACAGGAATTATCACTGAGTAGAAATTTCAAAAAGTGAATACACATGAACTTCACCAGATATAAGCACCAGGAATATATAAAA